GGCTGTCTGTGTCAGTGGTTTCCGGTCCGTCCCCCCCCCCCCCCCCCGCCCCTGTAATATTTTGCAAAGGACCAGGTAACTGGGGAAGGATGTGAATGGGGCAGAGGAAATGCCCCCTTCATCTCCTTGGAGGCAGGTGGTGTGAATCTTCAACAGCAATTAAAGAGGAAGTGATTTTGTGTAGGGGGTGAGCTGCTGGTTTCTTTTTGAAGAGCTGGGTCAGGGAATGGTGGTCAAGCTGGGGAGCCGGGGCCAGAGAGGGTGGGCCAGAGGGTGCCTTCTGCAGGAGCTGGTAGCAGGGTGGTGGGTACAGAGGTGGTAGGTCAGATGCTCCATCATGTGTGTCATGTGGTGGAAGGAGATCAGATGGGAGCAGCCATTGAGACTCTGGAGCAGAGAAATCACTGACTTCAGAGACAGCAGCATTCCAGGGAGGAGTGGGGCATGGTGCTTAGATGAGAGGGTATCCAGTGGGGTGGGGAGGAGATTGGAGAGGTGAGAAGATAGGTTATCTTTGGTTAACAGCAGGAACTTTGGATTCAGATCTCATTTCAAAACTGAGCGCTTCACTTCATAGCTAGGTGGATTTGGGCAGGTCACTGTGGTGACATTTATTTGTAAATTGGGGAGTATACCTGTTCAGAGGTCACCTGATAAGCATTTCAGCCCAGGGGTTACTGCCAGCCTGCTCTTCTTGAGCACTGGGTATCAGAATTGGGGCTTACCATAGGATTCCTCTCCTAGGCCTGTCAGGTGGTGCATGGGAGGGAAGGGGTGGAAGATGTCTGGGCTGCACAGGTCTCTGGTGCCCATGAACAACACACCCAGCTGATGTAGGCGTTTGCTCACCTCCACATCATCTAGGGCCACTGAAGCCACAGTGGCCACAGGTCAGCGCCACGGCCACAGGCTGTAGCACTGCCCGACTCAGCACATGGCCAGCCTCATGTGCAGCTGGAAATGCTTGCTCAGAGGGCTTGGGTGGGTCACGGGGGTCAGCAGTCAGTGAAGTTTGGGCGCAGCCACTTGTGTCGTCGTCCACCCTGAGGAACCAGTGGACTTGCTTCTAGTAGAGTTGGTTCTTGGTCCTTGGAACAAAGTCAGCCCCACACCATTCAGCTCCAGGTATGCCACTGAGCTTACAAACAAGGTATGGTCACAATGCTGGGTCCAGGTCTATTTCACATGGGAGGCCTGACTCTGTGCAGCCCTAGGCCGGCTGAACACCCAGCACAGCAGCCTGAACAAAGAATGCTCCAGAGCCCCAGGAAAGGTGCATTGGGGGTGCAGGTGCACTGACAGGTGCAGATGCAGGTGTGTGGTCTGGGAACAAAAGCGAGGAAAAAGTAGCAGCAAGACAAAGGACCGGGCCTTTCTCTCCATCAGCTCAGGGCCCTGGACTCCTTCACTTCTTCTCTACTTCCCTTCCTGTGGCAAAAGCTCGCCCTCTTCCTCACCTCGAGTTCAGGAGTATGAGAGTTTGGGGAGGAAACAAGAACCCTGAGAAAATGAAATGAGGTGCAGTGGGAGCCACAGGCGAGTGGAAAGTTCTTTAGTTTCCAGCCAGCAAAAGATGGCCAAGGAGTTAGGAAACTCTACAGCAAATCCCAGACACCAGTGAGCCACTTGATTCCCACCCCACCCCCCAATTCTTTTAATGAATAGCATCTTCGGTCTTGTGGGGAGATGTAGGTTGTGGTGAATGGAGAGACAAAGTGGCAAGTTCTTCAGGTTGTGGCAGCGTGGGACTCTAGAAGGGGACTCCCTGGTTGGCTCCCCTATACATCTATGCTGCTTTGGCAACTCATTTTGGGTTTCCCTGCTTGGATTCTCGTGGCCCACTACACCCCACCTTCCTCTGCACCCCCTCCTGGTTGCCATCTGCCATGTGCCCTGCTCTCCTCCTCGTTTGCCTTAGCACAGCTGGGCAGATCAACTTTTCTCATGAGACTTTTACCAAAAAGCAAAGAAAGTAAGAAATCTATTATTGAAAGTACAAACTGATTAAATACAATGAAGATTTCTTAACTCCATTTTCTGATGATGCTGATTCCAACCCCATCCAAGCAAAGCTAACCCTCCTGCCTCGGCGGCTCCTCCCGTATTCTGAGAGAGTCTGCTGTAGCTTCTTAAGGGCTTTTGGGATGCCTTCTCTGTAAGGCTCTTGCTTCCAAGCACCATCTAATCTTTCCAGGACTCAGGAGTTGGTTCATAATGTCATTGAGCGTTTACTGTGAGCCAAGTACTGTGCTAAAAGCATGGCACACGTCCTGTCATTCAATGTTCACAGCCATCCTAGGAGGCAAGTTTCTTGTTATCAATTTGCCAATGAGAAAACTAACTTGTTTGAGGTCCCACTGCTAGTTGAGGGGTGAGGATTTGAACCCAGCACTCTGAACTACAGCTGCACTTGAGGCAGTTTCTAAGATCTTGCACAGGTGAACCATTCCCCTCAAGATAGAAATCGCTGTGGAGGAATGGGATTTTATAAGTCTACCATCAACATTTTAAAACGCTACAATGTAAGTAGAATGCATCTATTCCTCACTATTTGATTATCTGACATTTTGCATTTACGACAATAGTAAAAAGTTTACTATGTGAGACTACTTTTCACGTTAATGACATACATCTGGCAGTAATGAAGTCTTGACATACAAAGCAAAAATAATGCTGGCTGTGATAGTTAAGGTCGTGATTCTCAGTGGTTTGTAGTTAAGTCATAATGTAATTTGGCTAATGAGGTAGGTAATGATGTAGTCATTCTTCATTTAGTGATCTGATGTGATCACCCTCCATTTTAGAATAATGCTGACTGCATAATGATCTGGTCTTCGGGACCTAACCATGTCGATAAGTAAGGAGTGGGTGTATGCACAGTAAGCATTAATTAGTCCATTCAGTAAGCGTAGGGTCGGTCTCAATACAACTTCAACAATTGAATCACTTACTTTATGCTGTAGGAGGCCTGGGAATGTCATAATCTCTGTCCCTTTCTTAGGGAGCTCTGGTGGTGTAGTGCCTAAGGCATCTGACTGCTAAGCAGAAGGCTGGTTGTTCAAACCCACCAGCCACTCCTTGGAAGGAAGATTGGGCAATCCACTTCCATAGAGAGAACGCCTTGGAAATCCAAGGAGGGGTCGCTATGAGTCGAATCGACTTGACGGCAGTGAGTTTGGGTTTTTTTTTAGATCCCTTTCTTATAGTTCCCTGGGGGTGTAAACAGTTTGCGCTGGTTAGTTAGCTACTAACCAAGAGGTTAGTGGTTTGAATCCATCCAGTGGTGCTGAGAGAGAAAAGTCTGGCAATCTACTTTCCTAAGATTACAGCCATTGACAACTCCATGGAACGCAGTTCTACTGTGACACACGTGGGATAGCTATGAGTCAGAATCAACTCGACAGCAACAGGTGATTTTTTTGTTTTGATTTTTCTTTCTTTCTTACCTTGTGAGTCAATGGAGTCTTCAGCAGAAATGCTATACACGTTAGAGATGGGGAACCGGGGGGGAGAGCCCCCACCCATCTGCACCTTTAGATCCTCTGCACTGGGAGGAAGAGCAGCCATACCTGCACTTGGCAGTGGGGAAGTCACCTGATGGGAAGTCCACTCACAGGCACTCCTGCCTTTGGCACACTAGGAAGCTGGCATATGTGGGCAGCAGCCCTCCCTGGAGGCATGGCCAAAGGTGGAGGAGGCCTTTCCTGGGAAATGCTGAAGTGGTGTAGTGGGGGTGTGGGTGCAGATGCTGCAAGGAGTGTTCAGCAGAAGGAATATCCCCCTGGTGGGGTACGTGTGGTGTACATTTTGGCTTATAGGATACAAAGGGGAAGAAGGTAGGGGAAGAACCAAAGAAGAAAGAAGCCAAAGAAGTGAAGGAACAGAAGCACAGATGAGAAAAGGGAGGAGTAGTGACAATGCTGTAAGTGTTTAAGTCCTTGTCAGGCCCGTCTACTTTGTTTATCCATCCTGGATCTTCCTGGACTCCTCGGCTCCTACTAATAGCAGCCTGGACATGTGCAGCGAAGTACAGGATCAGAGAATGTGCCCTCCACCCTGAACAGAATGCTAAGCCTCATGCCTACTTGAGTCCTCACCTGCCTCCCCCACAAAAGGATGAACTTATGGTTGAATGTACAGTCCAATTCTTTATTTCAAAACCTGACTGTTGAAGAACATGATGGAGGTTCTGCACCCCTGCCCGTTTCACTGGGATTATGTCAGAGGTGGGAGGCAACTTTCTCCCATTCTTCAGCAGTGAAGACTCCTCAATCAGAAGTACAGATTATAGGGACCATGTGGACAGGGAAGAGGAGAAGGAAATCCCAAAGTAATCTAAGGGAAAGGGTAAAGTGACTCCAAACAGCAATAAAAATCCATTGCCACTGAGTCGGGTGAGACTCACAGCAACCCTATAGGACAGAGTACGGCTGTCCCATAGAGTTTCCAAGGCTGTAACTTTATGGAAGCAGACTGCCACATCTTTCTCCTATAGAGCAATTGGGGAGTTTGAACCGCTGACCTTTCAGTTAGCAGCCTTATTGCTTTAAATACTGCACCACCAGGCTCCCCAAACCACAGCAGGGACAGGGAATTGTCTTTTAACGGGCAGAGGGTTGGGACCGTTTGCTGCCTCAGGGCTTGCTAAATGTCCCTACTTTTGCTCTCCCTACCCTACTCCATGCAAAAGACCTTACCATATCTCTAGGTAGGGAGGGGGAAAGAACCAACAAGCTATGGGAGGATAACGGAAAGCTGAAGAGGAAAGGAAGGAGATGTGGGGCAAATCCTGGGAGAATAAAAATCACAGGCTTGATGAGGCTTTGAGGGCGGCTCTCAGCAGTAGCAGCAGCACCCACCCCACAGCCCCTCCGCACTCCCAGAGTTGGGGCCCGTGAAGACCACAGCTCGGCACCACTCTGCTGTTCGCCTTCAGGGATTGGGTGGGGGACAGTCTAGGAGAACTCTGGACTCCTTGGAAGGTCAGTGGCGTGATGGTCTCAGAAGTCAAACTCATCCAGGTCCCCTGTGCCCTCCCCGTCCTGGGAGCCCCACACCCGACGGTAATTGCTCTCTAGTTCTTTCTGCCGTTGCCGTTCCTTCTGTGCCTCTTCAGCTCCCTGCACCTGGTGGGGAGGGGGTGAGGAGTTGCTTATTGGTGAACAAGGAGGGGCACTGAGCACTTGACAGGGGAGGCCAGGGACTGGCAACCTTGTGCGAGGCAGGGACTGATGACACCCAGCCTCCAGAACTATTAGCCTCATCTTACAGATGAGGAAACTGATGCTTGGAAGCGGTAAGGCTGGGCCACACCTTTGTGACTCTAAACCATGCTCTTGACACCTTATCGTGCTAAAGGCTGGGTAAGGCTGAAGGTCTAGGACCTGGGGCTGGGGCGTCTCTCACCAAGATATTGAAGAAAATCTCCTTGAGGTTTTTCGTGTCCTCGTCAGTCAGCCAACGTGCATCGTCCTCAGTCCCTTCGGCCCCTGGTCGGACAATTTTGATCTCAATTTTACCTGGGAAGGAGCAGGATGGATGGTGAGAGAAGGATGCTGGGAGACTGAGCACAGGTCCCCGGCCGCCCAGACCCCGGCCCCTCCATGTCGGGCTCCAAGCCCTTCCTCGGGGCATCCAGCCCTGCCCTCCAGGGCCCACCTTCAGCTGTGAGTCCCTCCCTCTCCAGCAGTTCTTTCACCAGCCCCTCGATTTGTTTCAGCTGTGGGTTTTCCCGTTTCATCTCGAGGACAGTCAGATCCTGATTGGGGCCTCTGTGATGGAGCTTGGTGACCCGGACCCGGACTCTGTGCTCAGGATCCTCCTCTTAGAGGGGGAGACACACAGGGAGACACAAAGCAGAGCCGTGACTCCTGGGGTTAGGGGCTGTGGCAGTCACAAATGGTTTGGGCTCTGTCCCAAACATGTATGTGAGCCAAGGTTCAGAACATTCATGTCCCCAATTCCAGCCTACAGAGCTCCCTCCAACTACTGCAGCCACCCTTGTTCCCTCCCTATCCAATAATCCGGCCCATGACCTACAGAAAAACAACCATGTTTTCTGAAGGAAAAATCAGGCCACCTGGGCCGACTATGCAGTTTTGTTTTGAGAAGCAGGTTGGACAAGTATATATTGGTCCTTGACATATTGGTACTTTAAAGACACTTCACTGTTGATAGAGATGGTGGAATGGAAGATTTGAAACTGGAACTGTTCCAGAACAACTGGAATGATTGGTCTCTATACCCACAGGGCTCTATGCAATGGACACACGGGGCTGCCAGAAGAAAGCATCACCTCAAGACTGTCCAGGCAAAGGGCTTGTGAGGCTGGCTTCTCCGAGTGCAGAGTCCTAACTGTTAATAGGCTATATCCTTCATGGATGTGTGGTTGCCACCACATGGGCTCAGAGCCATCCAATTCATGTCTATCAGTCACCCGCTATGTGCCAGGCAAAGGGCTAGGCACTGGAAGCACAGGAGCAAACCAGCAAACCAGACACACACTCTAGAAGCTGCTTCCCAAATGGATGACTAGGAGGTGGCCACACAAAGAGGCAGAGGCCCTGGGAAGAAGGCAACGACGAGAACAGTGTTCCAGAGGGAAGAGAATGAGCAGTCTAGAAGGGAAAGACATGGTGCCCGCCTGCAACAACAAAGCTGAGGCATAAAGACATGACTGGCCTGCTCCTTCCTGTCTGACAGCTCTCACCTGTAGGCTGTGAGGAGGGGGCAGGTTTTTTTGGCACAGCCCTCCTTTTATGGTGCCTTTTCACCAGCTGTGGACTCTGTTTTTCTTCCAGCCTTTTGATGAGCTTGTTGAGGGTGGAGGTCAAGGCCAGCATCGCCCGATCACGTTCTGATTCCTTCTTCAGCCCATCTGGGTCAAGTTCCTTCTCTGTCTGGAATGCCCAAAGGGGTGTGCAGAGTCAAGGCTCTGGAATGCAGAGGCCAGTGGCTCATACTCTATAAACTAGAACCAAATCTGTTGCCGTCGAGTTCATTCCAACTCATGGCAACCTCATGTGGTACAGAATAGAACTGCTCCCCAAGGTTTTCTTGGTTGCGATCTTTTAACAAGCAGATCGCAAGACCTGCTTCTGTGGTGCCACTGGATAGGCTGAATAGCCAGTCTTTAGTAGTCAAGTGCAAACCACTTGCACTACCCAGGGCCCTTCATATTCTATAACCCATTGCTGTGGAGTTGATTCTGACTCATAGCAACCCAACAGGACACAGTAGAACTGCCCCATAAGGTTTCCCAGGCTATAATCTACAGAAGCAGATGGCCACGTCTTTCTCCCGGGGAGTGCTGGTGGGTTTGAATTGAACTGCTGACCTCTTGGTTAGCACCAGAGTGGTTAACCACTGCACCACCAAGGCTCCTTCATGCTCCATGGAAGAATCTAACATCTGAGTCTCATCCCTCTGTCCAATCTCCCTTTGCCATCATCCCCTTTGTGAGTCAAATAAACAACTACCATTTCCCAGGCCCGTGCTGTGTGTGTGCTAATACACTCCTGGTTCTCTTTAGCCCCTGGCTCTGTCCTGCCCCTAAAGTGAGGGCAGCTGCAGAAGTGGCAGGAGTAAGAGCTGTGCTCACCTCTTGGATGATATTCTCCAGTTCCCGCTCCATTCCAGCTTTCACCTCTGAACGGAGCCGGTCCCTGTCTGACGGGAGCAGGATCCCTTCCAGTTCCTTCTCAAACTCTCCCAGTAACTGCTGTTCATCCTCATCCTCATCTTCCTCCTCCTCCTCCTCCTCCTCTTCCACCGCATTCTGCTGTTCCACATCATCACCCTTTTCCTTCACCTCAGGGTCCCTCTGAGGGACTTCTTCGGCATCATCCATAGGCTGCTCCTGGCGCACACTTGGCTTCCCCTGGGGTGCAGGGGGTTGGGGAGAAAGAGGGAGACAGTTGGAGTTTCAGGAGATACACATCGTTGGGGGCAGACGACCAGTGATAGGGGTGTGCTAGTGGGGGAACTCGGGACTAAAGTACTAAAAGGGTCAGTACTATTGGGCCTACTTCAGGCCCAGGACAGAGATGACTTTCTAAATGCTCCCAGCCGAAAGGCAGGTCTCAGCCCTCCCTGAGCAGGACCCATACCTTTTTAGTTCCTCCTTTCAGCTCCTCTATCAATCGAATCAAGTCTGCAGGATTCCGAATGACTTTGACCTGTACATTGCTCTGAAAATCTGAGATGAAAGAACAGGAGTGCATCCCCTGTGTTCTGCATTCTGTATTGACTTCCTGAGGAAGGGTGATGAGGAGACAAAGGAAGGACGTGGTCCCCGCCCCCAGGAGCCACCTATCTGGTCTGGGTGGTGAGCCAGAACACACTGCCACATACAGCACCATCCTAAGGAGGCTTGTAGGTGGCAGGGAAGGAAGCCAACAAGCTGTAAACCCCTGGCTTTCTCATGTACTTCTGAGGCCCTTCTGACCACCACTCTAGTTTTTAGGACTACAGAAGAGATTCCTGGGTGAAGAGCTCCTCTTCCTCAGATCCTGTTCTCCCCTTTTCATGAATGTTAATCGTTTATTGAGTGTCTACTCAATTCCAGGAATTCTCTAAAGAACTACACATTCGTTCTTATTTAATCCCACAACAGCCCTCTAAGGTAGGGACTATTACCCACATTTTATGGGTTGAGGAAATTGAATTTAAGTAAAATCACCCAGGATTACAGAGTCAGCAAGTGGCAGAGCCACTGTGTTCTACTACGTCCCTGGAACAGCATTAGTACGTTAGTATTAACTCCTGTGAAAATGAATTTGCTGCTGGCATGGCTACCCAATCTCCCTCCCCAGAGTTTAGCTCCACTCCTCACCCCCACCCCCATCCCTGACAATCCTAAGAGACATCCAAGCATTAAAGGAGATACAAGGGGCTCACTCACCATCAGGAGAGCGTGCAGCTGGGTCTACTGCCTCCCCGTTTGGTTCCTGCTCCCGATGAGGAGGAAAAGGGCAGAGTTAGGCACACAAGCTCCTATATGCTCTCCACACTCCTAAAGCAATGGTTCTGGGAATATCCTTGCATCCCTAGACAAGTGTAGGTCATGTCACAGTGACCTCACCTTAGGTAACCCTCCACATCCCCGAAGCCCAAGGCCGGCTTCATCAGAGAAACAGAAGCTGGCTCTCACCTCAGCCTGCACCTCCTCCCCTCTTGGGGACTGATCCTCTTGCTTCCAGAAATCAGATTCCTTACTCTCCTCCTTGGCTGGGCTTGCACCTGGGATACAGAGAACAGGGAGGAATCAGAAAAGAGGGGAGAAGTGGAGGGGAGCAAACAGAACGGAGTACATTCCCCTCCCCTATTACAAAGCGGTTTGGGTTCATGTTCTCCTCCTCCCTTCACCCCCAAGAGTCAGCACAGGGTAATTTTCCAGAGGGAAAATATGGGGACAAGTCTCCTGGAATAAGATCCTACCTTCTCTTTTTGGGGGTACCACCTCAGACTTGGTCTCACTCCACATGTGGGAGTCCAGGTCTTGCAGCTCCTCTATGATTTTCTCTCCATACTTCTTGGAGTCTATGAGAAATGGTGTGAAAACACCATGGGGACAGACACATTCCACTGGGCTATTCAGAACTCGATCTTCTGCCTCCCCTGCCTACATCTTCCTCACCTCGATCTTCTAACCACTCACCAGCTTGCTGCTGAATGTAGGCCATGTACTCCTCAGGCTGCAGGGTGGGGTGGCAGAGAATGGCCTGGGGAGCAGCACTGGGTGGAGGACGGAGGAGTGGGTGGGGGCACAGCCGAGGAGTCCGAATGGTCAGCACGTAAGAGCAGGACAGGGGCTCATCCACGCGGTCAATGTAATCCCCAGAAATACCAGCACCCTCATCACACAGGAACTGCCAGGACAGAAAGGGTAAATGAATAATAACTGCCACCGATAATTAGATTTTGTTCTCAGAGCAGCTCCCTTTCATTAAGCATCAGACTCTGTGCTAAGCACTTATATACATTAACTCATTTAATATAAAAAAAACAGTAAAGGAGGCATTCGTAGCCCAACTTTGTGGCTAAAGACACTTAGGTTGCCTGTAGCTAAATGTACTTGTTTAGGCTGACCAGCTGGTAAGTGTAAAAATAGGAATTAAACCCAGGCAGTTGAACTCTAAAACTCACAGCCGTCAAGTTGCATCCAACTCACAGCAACCCCTCCTTGGGTTTCCAAGGCGGTATCACTACAGAACTAGATCACCCAACCTTCCTTCTGAGGAGTGGCTGGTGGGTTTGAACCTCCAGCCTTCTGGTTAGCAGTCAAAAGCCTTAAGCACTACATCACTAGAGCTCCTAGTTTAATTCTAGGTAACCAACAAATTTTTGTTAGTTTTATAATCTTGCTTTTTACAAATATGCTACATACATAAAAAAATATATGCTATGTATGTATATGTATATATATATATATATATATATTTGCCTTATAAATCTGTATTTTATATATGTATATATTAATATATTTATTTAAAATATGTCCATATGGTAAAAAAAAAAAAAAAACATAAACTTCAAACGGTTCTAAGGCCCTTATACTATTCAAGAAGAAAATAAAGATACTGATGAACATAGCTTTTGGTAAGATAAGTACACACCACTGCAGTTTCTAATGAAACTATTGTAAGTAAAAGAAAGAGAGGTTTCACTTCTGAAGCAGCAGGGTAAGAAACTCTGCAGACCCATTCTCTAGCAAAACATCCATGTTGTTGTAAGGTGCCATAGAGTCAGTTCTAACTCACTGCGACTCTACGTACAACACAGCAAAATACTGCCCGGTCCGGTACCATCCTTAACATCGTTGCTATGTTCGAGCCCGTCATGGCAGCCACTGTGTCAGTCCATCTCATTGAGGGTCTTCCTCTTTTTCACTGACCCTCTCCTTTACCAAGCATGATGTCTTTCTGCATAGACTGGTCCCTCCTGATAACGTCCAAAGCCACCAAGATGAAGTCTCACCATCCTCACTTCTAAGGAGAATTCTGGCTGTACTTCTTCTAAGACAGATTTAGTTGTTCTTCTGGCAGTCCAATGTATATTCAGTATTTAATATCCTTATTCATAGTCTAGCTCTCATACGTATATGAGGTGAATGAAAATACCATGGTTTGGGTCAGGCACAGGTAGTCTTCAACTTGACATTTTTGTGCTTAAACACTTTAAAGAGATCTTTTCAAGTATGTTTGCCCAGTGCAGTTACTTCATTTGATTTCTTGACTGCTGTTTCCATGGGCGTTGATTATGGGTCCAAGTAAAATGAAATCCCTGACAACTTCACTGTTTTCTCCATTTATCATGATGTTGCTTATTAGTCCAATTGTGAGGATTTTTGTTTTCTTTCTGTTGAGATGAAATGCATACTGAAGGCTGTAGTCACTTATCTCCATCAGTAAGTGCTTCCAATCTTCTTCACTTTCAGCAAGGTTGTGTCATCTGCATATCACAGTTTGTTAATGAGTCTTCCTCTAGTCCTGATGCTGTATTCTTTGTCATATACTCCAGCTTTTTTGGTTATTTCCTCAGCATACAGACTGAATAAGATACAACCCTAAGGTCCTAATTTATGGCATAAATAGACTGTCATGCATAACCCAAAATGCACCAACAGCAGAAGATAAACTAGATGAAAAGGACCTTCTAAAAATTAAATTTTTGTGCTTCAAAAGACTTCTCCAAAAGAGTAAAAAGAGAACCTATAGACTGGGAAAAAATATTTGGCAACGACCTATCTGACAAATTTATAATTTCTATAAATTTTATGTGTAAAATTTATAGAAAACTCCAACACCTCAACAAAACAAAAGGACAAACAATCAAATTTAAAAATGGGCAGAAGACATGAATAGACACTTCATCAAAGAGGATATGCAGGCAGCCAACAAACACATGAAAAAATGTTCATAATCATTAGCCATTGTTGTTGTTGTTATTAGGTGCCATTGGGTCAGCTCCAACTCATAGCAACTCTATGTACAACAGAATGAAACATTGCCTCGTCCTTTGCCAACCTCACAATCCTCACTAGACCTGAAACCATCATTGCAGCCACTGTGTCAATCCCATCTTGTTGAGGGCCTTCTCCTTTTTCATTGATCCTCCACTTTACCAAGCATGATATCCTTCTCCAGGGAATAGTCCCTTCTGACAACATGCCAAAGTAGGTGAGACGAAGTCTGGCCATTCTCACTTCCAAGAAGCATTTTGGCTGCACTTCTTCCAGGACAAATTTGTTTGTTCTTCTGGCAGTTCATGGTACATTCATTCTGCATTTACCAACACCACAACCATTAGAGAGATGCAAATCAGAACAACAATGAGATACCATCTCACTCCAGCACTAATAGCAAAGTTCAACAAGACAGAAAATAACAAATGCTGGCAAGTATGCAGAGAGATTGGGATTCTCATACACTGCTGGTGGGACTGTCAAATGATACAAGCACTGTGGAAAGCAGTATGGCAATCCCTTAAAAAGTTGTAATTAGAAATACCATTTGAACTAGCAATCCCATTATTAGGTATGTATCCTAAAGAAGTGAGAGCCAGGATAAGAACAGATATATGCACACCCATGCTCATCACAGCACTATTTACAATAGCCAAAAGATGGAAACAACCTAGATGTCCATCAACAGAAGAATGGATAACCAAACTATGGTACATACACACAATGGAATACTATGTAACACTAAAGAATAATGTAGAATCTACAAAATACCACATGACATGGATGAAATTGGAGGACATTATGCTGAGTGAAATAAGTCAATCACAGAGGAACAAATATTGTATTGGTCCGCTATTGTAAAAAGTGAAGAAAGGTTTATATATGGAAGGAAACTTTCCTTGTTGGTTACCAGGGGTGGGAGGGGAGGGGAACACTGCTAGATAGGTAGAGACAAGTATTGATTTGGGTGAAGGGAAGGGGGAAAAAAAAAAGATACAACTCTGACACACACCTTTCCTGACTTTACACCAAATGGTATTCCCTTGTTCTGTTCGAACGACTGCCTCTTGGTCTATGCACAGGTTTCTCACAAGCAAAATTAAGTGTTTTGGAATTCACATTCTTTTCAATGTTATCAATGATTTGTTATGATACACATAGTCAAGACATGTTGTTGTTGTTATGTGCCATCGAGTCAGACCTGACTCATAGCGACCCCTCCTTGGGTTTCCAAGGCAGTATCACTACTGAAGTAGATTACCCCATCTTCATAGTCAAGACATAGTCAATAAAAACACAGGTAAACATCTTTCTGGTATTCTTTGCTTTTAGCCAAGATCCATCTGACATCAGCAATGATGTCTTTCATTCCATGCCCTCTTCTGAATCCAGCTTGAATTTCTGGCAGTTCCCTATCAATGTACTGCTGCAACCATTTTTAAATTATCTTCAGTAAAACTACTTGTGTGTGATATTAATTATATGGTTCAATAACTTCCACATTCTGTCAGATCACCTTTCTTTGGAATGGCCACAAATATCAATCTCTTCCAGTTGGCTGGCCAACTAGCTGTCTTCCAAATGTCTCGGCATAAATGAGCAAGTGCCTCCACTGCTGCATCCATTTGTTGAAACATCTCAATGGGGATTTCATCAATTCCTGAAGCCTTGTTTTTTTGCCAGTGCCTTCAGTGCAGCTTGGACTTCTTTCAATATCATTGCTTCTTGATCATATGCTACCTCTTAAAATGGCTGACTGTTGACCAATTCTTTTTGGTACAATGACTGTGTATTCCTTCCATCTTCTTTTGATCTTCCTGCATCATTTAATGTTTTGCCCAAAGAATCCTTCAATATTGCAACTCAAGCCTTGAATTTGTTCTTCAGTTCTTTCAGCTTGTGAAATGTCAAGTCCTTCCCTTTTGGTTTCCTAACTCCAGTTCTTTGCACATTTCATTATAATACTTTACTTTGTCCTCTCAAGCTGTCCTTTGAAATCTGTATAGCTCTTTTACTTCATCATTTCTTCCATTTGCTTTAGATACTCTCCATTCAAGATCAAGTTTCATAGTCTCTTTTGACATCCATTTTGGTCTTCTCCTCCTTTCCTGTCTTTTTGTTGATATTTTGCTTCCTTCATGTTTGATGACCCTGATATTACCCCATGACTCATGTGGCCTTTGGTGACTGGTGTTCAATGCATCAAATTTGTTCTTCAGATCATCTCTAAATTCAGGTGGGATATATTCAAGGTCATATTTTGGCTCTTGTGGACTTGTTTTAATTTTCTTCAGCTTCAACTTGCAAATGAGCAACTGATGGTCTGTTCTATGGTCAGTCCTTGGCTTGTTCTGATGATATTGAGCTTTTCCATCATCTTTTTCCACAGATGTAGTCCATTTGATTTCCTGTGTATTCTATCTGGTGAGGTCCACATTTATAGTAGCCATTTATGTTGTTTAAATTAGGTATTTGTAATGAATAAATAGGAGCTCTGGTGGTATAGTGCCTAAGGCATTTGACTGTTAACCAGAAGGCTGGCAGTATAAACACACCAGCCACTCCTTAGAAGGAAGATTGGGCAATAAATTGTTGTTGTGCAAAATTTAAAAATTAGAGAATGAAATTAAAACAGCTGTAAAAACATGTGAGAGATACTAAATTTATAAAAGATGTATTATAAAAGAGGAAAGCTGAAATGAATTACCTAAGCATTCATTTCAAGGAGGTGAAAAAAGAACAGCAAAAAATAGCAGAAAGAAAAATAAAGATGAGTGGAAATTAATAAAATAGACAATAAATACAGCAGAGAAGCTTAACAGAGCCAAAAGTTGGTTCTTTGAAAAGACTAAACCGATCAACATCTGGTAAGATTGACCAATAACAAAAGATGGAGGTAAATAT